TTATCGACGCTTTTATGGTCGTATATGGTATTAAATTTCGTAATAAATTACGGTGACACGTCCTTTTCGTAGTAACTTGTGAAGTGTCCTGTGTGTATGTGTGTCATAAACGGCTCTGAAGTGCCTGCTGACTCCACTAACATAGCTTCTTTTCTGTAATAGTGTGTCGTACTGTTTTGTCCACAATAGAGTGGCCACAAATAGAACTCCAGATATTTAATTAAAATGTACACACAGCATTGCTATATTCTGCAGCTCATTGAATTCAGGATTTGAAGTTATTATTCATATTAGGTAAAACATATAGTGTGTGTATATTTAGTGTCTTAAACAGGGCTCTGTCCCTGGTGGTACTCCGTCCTGTCCTGTAGCCCAGCTGGCCTTCTTTGTCCTGGCCACACAGACTCATTAGCATTCACCATCCTACCAGAGCATCCATCTGTCCCCACAGACGATGCTTTTGTTCCCCATTTTAATGTTAAAACTTTGCCCTTTTTGTCCAACTGTCCCCTCATATTAAAAGCCTACAGATGTGTCAGCCCATCTCCAAAGACGAATGTTGATCTAAAGCCTGGAAAGTTTTAGGAGTTCTAGGTGAGAGTTGCACCAGAGGATAAACAGAAGTGATGCTTACAGTTTACGTAAATTGAGATATTTCATTGTCAGAATATCACAATTTATAGCTGATTTACATACTTTAACGTTTCTGTGGCTGTTGTTCAAACTGGTATTAACAAACAAAAGGGCAGAAAAATTATGATATTAATCCTGAGGGCGAATCTGTGGGAGAACTCTGAAATGCTAAAGATGGTAGTTGTCCCAACTTTGTCACCAGAGAGCCAATTAACACCCAGATAATGAAACAGAAAGTCTTTGACTTTTTACCACTGGAGTGAGGAGATCTCTGAAAATGTTGACTCTTTTTTTGGCCGGTCCCCACTTTTTCACACCCCTCTTAGGTATCTGCAGAACATGCCTGCTCGTGTTCTGCAGGCTCATCTGCGGTATGTGTGTGGAGTGGGAGGTATTTCTTCTTCAGAGGTTATGTGGAATCATCACAGAATGGTATAGGTCTTGTACCTTGTAGCTGGTCTGGTTTGGTAAACATCCAACACCTCCGCCCCCACCCCCCTGTTATTTCTTTAATATTACTGTACATGAGAGTTTATCCTGTTGTGTCATTCTTTTGCTAACTAACTTGTATAGTACCCACAACTTTTGGCTGACATTTCCTTTGAGCTTTAGATTAGAATAACTTAATCTTTTATTTCAACTCAATAATAGTTACAGATCACAGCGTTTTAGAAATACTGGTTGGATGTTCCAAG